AGAGGGGAAACAGGGGGGGGGGGGTGCTCGAGAGGACGGCCACAGCGGCCCGCACCATGCCCTCGGCAGCGCGGAGGAGGCGGGCGGCCTCTCTCTCTTTTTTTTTGTTTCTCTCTCTCTCTCTCTCTTTCTCTCTCTCTCTGCGCTGCCCGAAAGCCCTGCGGCCGCATGGACTGCCAGAGCAGCACCGCGGGAAGCCTCTAGTGCCGCGGCGCGGGCGACCCTCGACGCCGGCGGCATCGGTCCTGAGGCGGGAGGCACGGCGCGCGACCTGGCTCGTCAGGGCCTGATCCAAACCGGCGTTGTGTTTGTGCGTTTGTTTGTGTTTGTTTGTTTGATTGTTTGTGCGTGCGTGCGTGCGTGCGTGCATGCGTGCGTACGTGCGTGCGTGTGTGTGTGCGTGTGTGAAATGTGTGTGTGTGTGTGTGCGTGTGAAATGTGTGTGTGTGTGTGTGTGTGTGTGTGTTCGTTTGTGTGTACGTACGTGCGTTCTTGCGTGCGTGCGTGTGGGTGTGGGTGTGGGTGTGGGTGTAGGTGTGGCTGTGTGTTTGTGTGTGCATTCGTGTGTGTGTGTGTGCCTCTGCAGCCTGTCCTGTACGCATCGCGTTGGCGGCTTCGTCAGCTCGGACTCGTGTGCCATCTTCTCGGGCCTCAGATGCCTCCTGCACCTCTTGCTCCTCTTCCTTATCCTCCTCCCCGTACCCCTTTCCTCCTCCTCCTCCTTCTCCTCCTCCTCATCGCCTTCTCCTACCTCCCCTTTCCCCCCCTCCTCCTCCTCCTCCTTCCTCCTCTGACTCCTCCTCCTCCTCCCCCTCCTCCCCCTCCTCCCCCTCCTCCCCCTCCTCCCCTCCCCCGTGGCCCGTGCCCCCCTCCCGCCCCCCCTCCTCCTCATCCCCCGACTCCTGACCCTTCCTGGCCCCCCCCCCCCCTCTACATCCCCACCGCTTCCCCCGCCTCCACCTCCCCCCCCTTCCGTCCTCCTCCCTCTCCTCCTGCCGCTGCCCGAGCCCAGTCAACGGTCCAAGATGGCCGCTGCTCCCCCTCATGCCCCTGCTTCCTCTTCTCCTCCTCGTCCTCGTCCTCCTCCTCCTCCTCCTCCTGCTCCTCCTCCTCCTCATGGTGTTCATCCTCGTCTTTGTCCTCGCCTCGTTGTTTCTTGCCAGACCCAGAGCAAATATTGGGACGCTCGGGTGAGACATTGTTGTCCGCGTCGTCGTAGTCCTCGTCCTCGCCCTTGTCCTCCTCGTCCCCATACTCCCCCCTTGCCCGTCCAGAGTGCCAGAATGGGCGCCCGCCAGGGTCAACTTTTCTTGTCCACTCCTTCGCGAGCACGGTGGCAAACGACATGACAAGAAACAGGCAGGGCGGATAGGCATACGTAGTGGAACTGGATCCAAAGAGATGGAGATAAGGCGTGCCAGGAGGACGCGCAGGATCAATGACACGAGATGCAGCAGCAAGGTGGGGTGGCGCAAGGGATTGTCCAGCAGCTGTGGATGACGGAAGGGGGCAGAGGGTTGACAGGGAAGCACATGGGCTGGAGAAGGGAAATAAGGCCACAAGGAGCAGCGATGATGAGCCGAAGATGAGGATCAACATGAGGGAAAGGAACAGTATACAAATGCTGGATGGTGACGAAGTGGAACCTAGCGGGGAGGAGGATAGCAAGGAGGAGTCTGAGGAGGATGAGAACATTAGGAAGCTGGGGGGATACAGCGAGGAGGAAAAGGAGGATTTGGAAGCTGAGACAGATCAATGCAAACTGGCGATGTGCTAATAATGTTGCACATCGCACTCTGGTCCCAATTCCATTCTCTAACACACCGGGAAACTTGGAAGTGAAAGCGGAGCAGAACCAACCCGCAACTTGTTTCGGGTTCGGGCCGTGACGCGCGTGCGGGCTGCCAAAGCTGCGAGAAGGAGTGACCAATCGTGCTGCGAAACACTTGACAACAGATTGCATCCCCCCGCCGTGGCGCTAAACTACTGAATGTCCCGCGGCTGTCCCGTGCAATTGCCCCACGCGGATGTCTGGGAAAGGTTGGTGTTAGAATTCTGCTGCTGCGAGCAATCTCCACCGAAATGTTCGGCGATTGTTCAAGGGCCTGGTACCGTTTGGTATTGCTGCCTAACCTGAGCTCGGCGCGCATGTCGCGTATGCTAGGACGGCACTCTTCAGTCGCCGTTGTAATATAATGTAGTAGGTTAGGTTATATCATATGATGTTCTACGCCGATATGGTTTATGATGTTCTGCTCTCGACGGGGCTGCGTGACGTCTTATCGGTCGTTGCAGCGCATGTTTTTGTCCCGTGGCCAGCCTTACGTCAGCGTGGGCCCTGCATTTGACTAGGCGCGATTCAGATCTCGGTGCTGTACTTCATCATGTCCAACGGTTCTATATTCCATCATGTTATCATGTACTATAATGTATTATATACTGTTGGGCTCTCTACGAGCTGGCGTGACGCCGTGACGTGACGCCGTGACGCCTGTCACGTTAGATACGTCGTCGTCGATGTGCCTGTTTGCTTCCGTGGCCAGCCTGACCTCGGCGCGCACGTCGCGCTTGATTGTATATGCTGGTTCTCTTCAGTGGTGATTCGCTCTGTGAGGTCGAAATGAACACTGTCATGCCCAGATCAATCAGATGATGACTTGGTATGTAAGGTTGTACTTTTATGTGATGCTCTGTTAGTGTACGTGGTTTACGCTATACGAGGTACATGATATACCAATGGAATTGTGTTATAGTCTTTGCGACTAACACGTATTCAGTGCCGCAAGACCAACAGTAATACAACATATGTTATGTGAGGTTGCCTGCACTGTGCCATGCTGAGCATGTCAAGCTATTATGTGGCATGCCATGTCCTGATACTCTTCGAACAGAAACGCCAGGTCTGTGATGCCCGATTGCATACGGTGTCATCGTGGTAGGAATACTTAAGCAAGTCTGGTATGTTATGCGAGGACTTGTTATGCTAGAGGGTCAGGTTTAACGTGTATTGCTTTGCTATATGATGGTATGGGTCATGCTGTGGTATTGTAGGATATGTTGTGTAATGCTGTGTTCTCATTTGAATGAGAATCTGTGGAAGTCGCGTCATCCTGACCCCGCGCGCGCGCGAGAAAGTCGCCTCACATCGCTCCCCCAGGGCCCATTTCCAGGGATGCGCCAGGCGCGCCAGGCGTATCCCAATCTGGCGCTCTCGCTCGAGGCATCCTCACAAAAAATCGCCCCGCGGGCCCCCAGCGCCACCCCAAAGACAAGTTCTGGATGCGGCCGTCGCGCCGGGCGTGTCCCAATCTGGCGCTGTCGCCCGAGACTTGCTTGCAAAAATCGCCCCACGGGCCCCCTGCGCGCCCCCATGGACCATTTCCGCGCATGCACAATCCAGAGCTTTCGCTAAAGACATGTTTGCAAAAATCGCCCAGGCGCGCCCCCAGGGACCATTTCCGAGGGCACCGGGCGCTGGGCGCACTGGGCGCGCCCGGTGCATTTCCCGAAACGGTCGGCCTCAGGGGACGAGCTTGTGAAAACGCATCGGCCACAGCATGACGCGCCCGCGTCGTCGTGGTCGTCACCATCGTTGTCGTCGTCGTCGTTGTCGTCGTCGCCGTGGTCGTCGTCGTCGTGGCCACCGTCGTCGTTGTCGTCGTCGTCGTCGTCGTCATCTTCGTCGTCGTCGTCGTGGACGTCGTCGTCGTTGTCGTTGTCCTCGTCGTCATGGTGGTCACCATCGTCGTCGGCGTCGCCCTCGTCGTCACCGTCGTCACCGTCGCCCTTGTCGTCGTCGTTTCCCCTGCCATCTTCTCCGTCGACTGTCCCGCAGTCGTCGTAGCGGACGTTTGGTCCTCGTTGCCATCGACGTCTGGATCCTCGACGTCCTCTTCCCCACCCTCCTGTCCCTCACCGCCCTAATCCCGCCCTCCTGATCCTCACCCTCCAGATCACCACGCTCCTGGCCCTCACCCTTCTGATCCTCACCCCCCTGACCCTCACTATCCTGATTCTCGCTTTCCTCACCCTCACCCTCCTGCCTCACGATCCTGATCCTCACCCTCCTCATGCTTACTCTGACTATCCTGGTCCTCGCTCTCCTCGTGATGATCGTGATGCTCACTCTGCCGATCCTCACTCTGCTGATTCTCCAAATTCTGCTCAACACTCGCCCGATCCTCACCCCGCTGATCTTCATTCTCCTCATACTCGCTCTCCTCATACTCTTCATTCTCCGCATCCTTACCTTCCTGCTCCACGCTCGCCTGATCCTCACCCGCGTGACCCTCACTCTCCTGATCCTCCCCCTCGCGAGCCTCGCTCTCCCGATCCTCACCCTCCTCATCCTCATCCGCCGCACCACCGCTTTCCGCTAATTCACCCCTCGCCCGCAAACGCGCTTATTATTATTATTACTACTATCATTTATGATCATTATTGTTATTATTATTACTACTATGATTACTAGTATTATTATTATTATTAATATGCTTCGTCTTCTTCTTATACATACAAGAACTCCCGACCCACCGCAGAACGTCCGGCTAGTAAAGTCGTTTGATCTTGTTCTGTCGCGTTCGGTCATGGACTAAGTTCTATGTTATGATGTGCTATGGGACGCTGCGCCCTGGCATGGTCTGGTATGCCATAATACGGTCGAACATGTCATGGCATGGTTTGGTATAATATGAGATACAATGAAATGCTGCGCTGTGCGGTACTATGATGTGTTCAGTGTGTTCCGGCATGGCCTGCCATGCTATATTATGCCATGGTATGGCTTGGCATGCGATGAGGTACATGGTATGACCGGTTACCTCATGCTAGGTTCAAGGTTCAATGTGTATGCCATGATTGAGTCATGCTATGTGTTGCGCTATGTACTGTGAGTTCTGTTCCGTCCTGCTCACAAAGGGGCGGGAGCCTCGGGGATTCTCGCCAGACCTGGGGATCTGGCGGCGGCGGCATGCAAAATGGGCGAGTCGGGTCCGAAGGGGCGGGAGTCTCGGGCACTGTGGGTGGACACGCGGAGCTGGCGGCCGCGGTCTGCAGAGTGGGTGGCTCGAGTCTGGAGGGGCGGGCGTCTCGGGGATTCTCGGTGACCTGGGGACGTGGCGGCGGCGGTATTCAGAATGGGCGAGCCGGGCCTGGAGGGGCGAAAGTCTCGGGGGATTCTCGGTGAACCTGGGGAGCCGGCGGCCGCTGCCATTCTGCAGAATGGCGGGCGGGGCCCAGGAAGGGCGGGCGCCTCGGGGACTCTCGCTGGACCCGGGGATCTGGCGGCCGCCGCATGCAGCGCGGGCAGGTCGGAAGTCTGGTCTTCAGATCTGACGGCCCCGGCCTGTCTGGCCGGAGCGCCATGGAGTCCGCCTCCGTGCCGTCGGCGCGCGTGAGGTGCGCTCGTATTACCAGCCCAAGATCGACACGCCAAAAGGCGATGATAAACTTAGGGATTCGCCCTCAAATTGTAAGGGACTCCCTAAGATCGGCATCGTGATGAGGAGATGCCCAGCATAGGGATAGGGATATGTTCCAGGCTGGTAATCATAGTCCTGGTCGGTCTGGGGGCTTCCCGCGTGGCTGTTTCAAAACCTCGGTAGCCTGGCTGGGGGTCACTGTTCCCACGCACGCACCCTGCCTATACGTTAGGAGGCAACGACTGGGAGGTGTTCGTCGGAAGGATTAAGGAGGATGAAGCCCCATTGGGGGGCTGTTACGCCAAAGTGGGCCTCGGATCAAGCGGGATTAAGCCGGATTAAGCGGGGCTAAACGGGACTAAGCCGGATTAGGCGGGATTCAGCGGGAGTAAGCGGGAGCAAGCTGGATTAAGCGGGATTTCGGACCAGGGTTAAATCAGAATTTGACCTCCCAGGAGTTGCATCCGAATCTATTCGGTCATGGGTTGAGACAAATCAAAAGGTTGTGCGCCTTCCAATCAGAAACGGGTTCCAAAAGCGAAGGTTCGGATAGCAACTTCAATGGCATATCCCCCCCCCGCGTGCCCTGGCCCCCGCCCGAGCGTTCTGGCAGAGTTGCATGTCAACACAAATGGATGGGGTAAGGGGGCGGATTAGACGGGAGGACGAGGAAACGGAGGAGGAGTGTTGTACATGTTCTCGTCCCTCACAGTGCTGCCAGAAGAAAACACATTGATAAGGTAAGGGGGGGAGACGAGGGAAGGACAAGAAAGGCGAGGAGGAGAAGGATGATGATGATGATGATAATGAGGAGGAGGAGGAGGAGGAGTGTTGCATACGCCCTCGTCCCTCACTGTGCTGCCAGAAGAACAAATAGCGGAGCTCTGTGCACAGGGGGCCTGGTCGACGTAAGGGGGTGGCGGTGCCCACTGCGCCGCCTGTGTCTCGACGTCGGCGTAGTAGTGCTTGCCTGCGGGGAAGGTGGGGCAGGACAGGGAGGGTAAGGATGACGAGGAGGAGGAGGAGGAGGAGGAGGAGGAGGAGGAGGAGGAGGAGGAGGGGGAGGAGGAGGAATGGCCAGAGGTGGAGGCGGAGGAATTTCCCGCAAGCAGTGTTCCCTCTGCTCCTCCTCCCCTTCCTGCTGTTGCCCTGACGGGGTACTCCTGACGCCGCCGCCGAAACCCTCCCACTCGGAGTGCTGCCCGGGGGAGGGGAGGAGGACTCCCAGCTTTTAGGTCCTACACCACATCTTACTGCTGCCCCCCCTCCTCCACCTCTTCCTTCTCCTCCTCCTCCTCCTCATCCCCCTCCTCCTTCTCCTCCATGTCCTCCTCCTCCTCCTCCTCCTCCTCCTCCTCCTCCTTCTCTTCCTCCTCCTCCTCCACCTCCTCCTTCTCCTTCGGGTCCTGCGCTTCCGTCTGCGCCCCCTCCCCCCACACGCCTCCTCCGCCCTCGCCCCCTCCTCCCGCCCCCGCTCCAATCTCTCCCCCATGCTGAGACAAAGCCAGGGCGAGGATACAAGATCGGATGAGCATAAATCGAGAATCTCTGAGATCCCGCGGCTCTGGTGGATGCATCGGGCGTCGCGGCCTTTTCAGAGCGTTCTGGAACGCTCGGGGAGCGTTCCAGAACGCTCTGGAACGGACGCATCCTCCTCCTAGCCCCGTCCGACATGCTCCTCTTTTGGCATGCTGCTGCTGCTGCTGCTGCTGCTACTGCTGCTGCTGCTGCTGCGCCGAGCTGGCGAGAGCAGCGGCGATGCGGACGGTGGGCGCCTGCAGCAGGGTCCCACACGGCACGCCACCTCCCCAAGGGGAGGGCGGAAGGAGGGATGGCAGGCGCAAGAGGAGGCGCACCCTCCACGCCGGTCGCCAAACAAAGGCCAGAGCCGTCCGAAGCGGCCTTCTGGCGCGCTTCTTCCCCTTTCCCTGGAATGGCGACTCTCCGCGGGGCCTCCTCCTCGTCCTCCTCCTCCTCCTCCTCCTCGTCTGCCTCCTCCTCCTCCTCCTCCCCCTCCTCCTTTTCCTCGTCCTCCTCCTCCTCCTCCTCCTCCTCCTTCTCCTCCTCTCCTCCTCCTCCTCCTCCTCCTCCTCCTCCTCCTCCTCCTCCTCTCCTCCTCCTCCTCCTCCTCCTCCTCCTCCTCCTCCTCCTCCTCCTCCTCCTCCTCCTCCTCCTCCTCCTCCTCCTCCTCCTCCTCCTCCTCCTCCTCCTCCTCCTCCTCCTCCTCCTCTCCTCCTCCTCCTCCTCCTCCTCCTCCTCCTCCTCCCCCTCGCTGAACGAAGTCCTAAGCGAAGCGCGCCAGGGCCGCAGGCGCCCACTCGTGCACGGGTGGCAGATCGCAGGGCAGCTCTCTCGCGCTCGCCGTGTGTCTAGGCTGCGAGGCCCCTCGTGCGCCGCTGCCCTCGGCGCACGACGACGCACGAGGCGTTGCGGCCGCATCCAGGAGGAGGACGAGGAGGAGGAGGAGGAGGAGGAGGAGGAGGAGGAGGGGGAGGGGGAGGAGGAGGAGGAGGAGGAGGAGGAGGAGGAGGAGGAGGAGGAGGAGGAGGAGGAGGAGGAGGAGGAGGAGGCGTGGCGGCCGCGTTCAGGAGGAGGAGGAGGAGGAGGAGGAGGAGGAGGAGGACGTGCGAGGCTGCCCACCCATACCGTCGCTGGCCCACGTGCCGTCCATGGCGCCAGGCCTGCTCCTCTCCTTCCCGCTCGCCGCTGCACCTCCTGTGGGGTGCCTGGCTGCACCTCCTGGCAGGTCCGTGCCGTTCGCCACTCCCTCCTCGGGGCCCGAAGGCGCCTGCCCGCCTTCCCGCTCGCACTGCGGCCGATGACCTGCTGGCCGACTCACTTGCCCCAGTCGGGCGGCTGGTAATGGGGGGTGGCACAAACAGGGGATTGATGGAAAGGGCCCTGCACGGGCCTTCGGGGCCCCTTTCTAGAGCCGGGTGGTGCCCAGAAAGGGGCCCCAAAAGCCCCTTTGGGGCCTTTTTCTTGACCCCCCGTTTGGACCACACCCCATTACCACGCTTCCCAGTCGGAGGGGGAGGAGGAGGAGCAGGAGGAGGAGGAGGAGGAGGGAGGGTTGAACGGTTTCAGGATAGCATCAAGTCAGCCGGTAGCAGCAGGAGGGAGGGGAGGAAGAGGAGCATGAATAGGAGAAGGATGGCTGTGCGTCTCGTTCAAACTGAGGGTTCTAAGCAATCTTCTCGCACTATGTCGGGCCTGGGTTTCCTGACCTGCATGCAGTTCCTCCACAACGCCGGGTGCCGTCCATTGGCTCGCCAGGCACCCCAATCATACTCTCGCGACGCTGACGTTATTTCGCAAGCGTCGGAAAAAAGTGCGGGGAGGGTGGGAGTGGGCGGGGGAGGAAAGGACGAGGAGCAAGACGAGCACGACGAGGATGATAAAAAAGGAATTCCCACAGGGAGCGGCGCTCCGCTGGACCTCCCAGGAGCCAACAATAATGGCGACAGTTGCGCAAGTGGCAGCCCCGTCAAGGGCCTGCGAGGTACAATCTGGATACGTGCAAGGCACCACTTCACTGGACCTCCTGGGAGTCTCCAAAGGTGACGACCATTTAGCAGGTGCCCCCCCCCCCCCCAGGGAGCCGCAAGGTATGCGCGCAGGGCACCACTTCGCTGGACGTCCTGGGGACCTAGGGCAGTTGCGACAGTTGCGCAGGTGGAAGCCCAACAGGGGAGCCGCAGGGCCGCCGATGCTGGATGTGCGTAAGACGCCACCCCGCTGGACCTCCCAGGAGTACGCGAGAGTGGCGATAATTGCGCGAGTGGCAGCCGCCCAAGAAACCGCAAGGTCCAATCTGGATGTTCGTAGGACACCACTCCGCCGAAGCTTCCGTGAGTCTATGTACGGGAGTGGCGACGGTTGCGCAGGTGGCAGCCCCCCTGAGGGAGCTGCGAGGTCCACCCTGGATGTGCGCAGCACACCACTCCGCTGACCTCACACGCACCCACCACAGTGGCGACGCTTACGCTGGTTCCCCCCTATCACCCCACCAAGGAGCCGCCAGATCCCACCTTGATGTGCGTCGGACACCACTTCGCTGGACCTCCCAGGATCCCACGGGAGTTGCGACACCCGCGCAGGTGCCCCCCCCCCCCCCAAAGGGAGCCGCAAAGTCTACTCTGGTTGTGCGAAAGACACCACTCCACTGGACCTCCCAGGAGCCCGCGAGAGTCGCGACAATTGCCCAAGTGACTGGCCGCCAGAGAGCCGCGAGTTCCAGTCTGGGCGTGCGCAGGACACCATCACCCCGCTGACCCCCCAAGAGCCTACGAAAGTGGTGACGGTTGCGCAGGTGGCAAGCCCCCCAGGGCGAGCGCAAGCGTGCAAGAAGTAGGAAGAAGGCAGATGCAGGCAGGCAGGGGGGAGAGGCTGGGGGAATGAGAGGGTCGCGCAACACAATGCACGAGCCTGGGGAAATCAAAAGGTACCGATACCGCTACTCCACAGACCTCTCCATGAGTGCGTTCTGACTAGAAGTTCGAGGCCAATTAGGCGGTGGTGACAAAGGACTCCGAGGAGGCCCAAAACAGGGAAAACGGGCGGAGGGTAGCGGTATAGGTACCTTTGCCTCCTCTGAGATTCAACACAAGCATCTCCGACACAGGAAGGTCGGGATCAACACCGGCGGTCTGATTATATTGCGAGCGGGTAAGATTGCGGGGCGCCTGAGCTGCCTTGCCAGAGCTGCGGGCGGGGCACGACCGCCGAGCGCCGCGTGTGAGAAAGCCCGCAGGAGGCGCCGATCCCATGTCTGTTGCTGATGCAATCAGCCCGCAGCAGATGCCGATTTCGCTGCGGGTGGTTGCAGCAAAAAGCCACGCCTGAAATACTGCCAGATGGGCTCCGGCAGCAGTTCTTACAGAGCCCGAGCGACTCCCTGGGATGTCTTTTCGTGGGCTTTTGGGCAGGCCAAGACGCTGTCACAGTGCTGGCCGATTTATCGCGCCACAACGTTGGCCTATCCAGCTACATTGCTGTCGATCTAGTGGGGCCACAGTGATCTTGGGTGTGCGCGCCACAATCAGTGCCGCCAGGCCCGCTGGCCTTCTCCTTCCTGTACCTTCCTTCTCATCTTTTTTCCTGGCCTTAGGTCGGGCATGTCCCCCTACAGGCGGATGTTGGGCGATTTGTTTTTTTGTTTAAAACACAATCCAAACATTTTCAAAGATAGTCAGAAACGTCCCTGGATTATTTGTTTGCTATTTCTGAATATTCCTCCTGTGTAGGGACATGCCCGACTTAACCATAGCCAGCTGCTGAGTCGTGGAGTCCCCGTCGATCAGTGATGATCAGTGCGCTGACGGGGGACAACGAAAGGGGGCAAGCCATCTCAGCAGCCGGCGGGGCTTCTCTGAAGCCCTCTGGCCTTCTCAGAAGCCATCTGTGGCGTTGCCGAAGGCTTCGACTAGGGGATCAATTGCAACATTGGTTTACTCCAAACTTCATTTCCCCGCTGGGTGTGCAAGACACGCGTAGAGTAGTCGTCGAACTACGGCACATTATGCTTATGTGTTCGTGTATATGGCGCGAAACTCAATATTGGGGTAAATCAATGTTGTGGAAATCAACTTTTGGGAAAATCAATTCTGGAATCGATCTCCGACTCCAGACATGATTCTCGGAAGGCCAGGGGCCTTCTGAGCCTTCTGAGAAGGCCCTCCCCCTCTGCCCTTCCCCCCTGTGCACGCCGCCGGTGGACGAGCTCGCCCCCAGGAAGCTTCGCTACTGGCTACTGCTCGATAGCGATGCTCTCCAGACCTCTCCTGGGCTACGTTCTGGGATTTCGTCTTCCACCTCCCAACTTCCCATGTTTTCGGATATTTTCGTGGCAGCGCGGATCCTCCAGGACGAGGAGTCAGTGCGTTTTCCTCCCTGGACTGAGCTTCGCCCCTTTCCCCCCGCCCAGGGGGGCATCGTCACCGACACGGCCACCCCTGAAGGAACCCAGGGACACACAACGAAATACACACAAATCCCAGGATCCCCCATATTTCCCAATATCTCCTTGGTCTTTGTGTTATCCCTCCCACTTCCCGTAGTTTCCGATATTTTCCAGGGGATCGACGATTCACTGTGTCTGTTTGTTTTTTCCACTCCTGAACCCCCTCTGTGGGTTTTTTTCCCCCTCCTGAACGCAGCCGTGGCAACGAGGCTTCTCCGGGACGAGGAGCGGTGTCGGTGCGTTTTCCTCCCCGGACTGAGCTTCGCCCCTTGCTCCCCGCCCAGGGAAGCATCATCGCCGACACGGCCACCCCTAAAGGAACCCAGGGACACACAAAGAAATACACACAAATCCCAGGATCCCCCATATTTCCCTATATGTCCTTGGTTTTCGTCTTCCCCCCTATCTCCCTTTCTTTCCTGTATCTCCCTGGGGGTCGACGATTCATTGTGTCTGTGTGTGTGTGTGCGTGCGTGTGTGTGTGTGTGTATGTGTGTGTGTGACTGTGAATGTGTGTGTGTGTGTGTGTGCGTGCGTGCGTGCGTGCGTGCGTGCGTGCGTGCGTGTGTGTGTGTGTGGGTGTGTGTGTGTGTGTGTGTGTGTGTGTGTGTGTGTGTGTGTGTGTGTGTGTGTGTGCGTGCGTGCGTGCGTGCGTGCGTGCGTGCGTGCGTGCGTGCGTGCGTGCGTGCGTGCGTGCGTGCGTGCGTGCGTGCGAATGTGACTGTGAATGTGTGTGTGTGTGTTCCCCTCCTGAACTCCCTCTGCCTTCCTCCTGCGCGCGCCCCGCCGAGTGCTGCCCCGCCCAGAGGAACGCCCGCACGGCCGCACCCCCTCCGCCTCTCCCCTGTCTGCGCGCCGCCGAGTACATTCTCCCCGAGATCACGGTTGTCTCGAAAACGCTGCGCCTGCAGACAAGGTGAGAGGAGGAGGAGGAGGAGGAGGAGGAGGAGGAGGAGGGGGAGGAGGAGGAGGAGGAGGAGGAGGAAGGGGAGAGGGAGGAGGAAAGGGAGGAGGAGGAAAGGCAGGAGGAGGAGGATTACGCGAGATGACATTGCGACGTTACGCCGCGGCTTACGCGGGCCGCCAGCGCGGCACGCCACAGTGGAGAAGAGGGCGCTTACGCGCGACCTTGCGCGGGCAGCTTACCCGCTAATGTCGGTGAAGACGATCCCGTTTCTTGACGTCGCTCAGACGGCACCGTCGCCCTTGTCGGGCTCTGGCCTGATCCACTCAGAAAGGCTGCGGAGTTTAGAGGGTGCGAGCACTTGCAAGATCAGGGATCAGGGGTAAGCACTTAGTGAACGTTCCCCTGTGCTGTCTGTCGCTGCTCCTATCATCCCCCGGCGCAACACTCGAGCCAGCCCGAGAGAACGGCGTGCTTTCGGAAGCTGCACTGGACTCGACCTCTCAGTTGACTCGTCCTGGCATTCCTATAGGCATACCATGAAGTTTTCTTAGAACCCAGAAATGCTCTAAGAACGAATCCAATGATCTTAGAACATATACCAGACGTGTTAAACCAAGACGGTCTCAACCAAAAATGTTCTGAAAATAACATTCCGTGCAGACCACGAAAATGTGCTTAGAACATTCTTTGGTAGGCCCATAGGCGAGCCAAGACGCTTCGCCACTGCCTGAAGGCCTTCGGAATCCGTCCTCGACTTCTCAATGTCGACTCGCCCCCCCCCTCGTCCCCGCCCGGGGGGGCATCATCGCCGACACCGCCGCCCTGCGCGCGCCCTGGCTGCGTTCTGACAAGAATTTCCAGGCGCTCGCAGCCGTGGCAACGAGGCTTCTCCGGGACCAGGAGCGGCATCGGTGCGTTTTCCTCCCTGGACTGAGCTTCGCCCCTTGCTCCCCGCCCAGGGGGGCATCATCGCCGACACGGCCACCCCCCCTGCCTCAGAATTTCGAGGCGCAGGCATCCGTAGCAACGAGGATTCTTCGGGACCAGCGGCGGTATCGGTGCGCGGTCCTCCCCGGACCGAACTTCGCCCCCCCCCCCGCCCCCGCCAGGGGGGCACCATCGCCGACACTGCCGCCCTTGCAGACGTGCTGCAGCAGACTTTTGCGCGGTATTTGTGCCAGTGCAAAACCTCGAAACGGCGTTCGAACAAACGAAATGAATTTCACGTTGATATGTTGTAGTCTTCATTCCTGGCCGGAACAAACCCGCGCGAAATTCATCTCGAAATCCGGAACGACATTCTCCAGGGCAATCTGGGCCCATCCTGTTCTTTCCCAAACGAAATCCGCTCCGCGATGTTGGCGCATGGAGTAAAATCGACTCGCCCTGCCCTCCCCGTCCCCGCCCGGGGGGCATCATCGCCGACACCGCCGCCTTGCGCGCGCCCGCGGCGCGCTTCTGCGGCGGCGCCGCTGGTGAGGTGCCCAGCGGCGCGCGCTGCGCCGGCGGCGCCGGCTCCTCCGGCGCCTCGGGCACCTCCGGCGCCTCGGGCGAGGGAGGGACCACAAGCAACCTTCCACCAGAAATCCAACCATGAGACCCCAGGACGTTCATTGATTTTGGTGTGGGAACGTCGCTCTCTCCTCAGCAGAACCATCGAAACCAACGAAACCCAGGGCACCCCAGAGGCGAGCAGGGTGTTTCTTGGCATGGGCCTCCACTGTCTGGCAGCTGCGGCTGGCGTCGCAGAGAGTGTGCAGCACCGAGCTCCGAAAAGCAAACCATCTCCCAAAAACAAGGCCTCCATCCCTCCCTCCCTCCTCCTCCTCCTCCTCCTCCTTCTCCTCCCCTCGTCTTCCTCCTGCTCCTGTTCCTCTTCTCCTCCTCCTCCTCCTCCTACTCCTCCTACTCCTGCTCATACTCCTCCTCTTCCTCCTCCCCCCCTCCCTCCCTCTCTTCCTCTGCGCACGCTGTCCCTGTGAGGCGATGCCCCTGCGAGGGGCCCTCCTGTGCGCGCCCTCCCCCGTGCCAGGGCTTCGTCCGTGCACGCTGTGCCCAAGGTGGGGAACAGCGTGTAAGAAGCGGGCAGGGCGGCGCCACATCGCATGCTACCTTGGCAACGCCAGCCGTAAGAGACCGAGATCTGTAGCTCTATCTCGACTGACGATCGCCGCTTTTCCCTTCCACTCTGTATTCGGGGTCGCCGTACTGTGGTTGATCTTCTGACTTCGACCTGTGTCGGACGTATACCCCAAGCGATGCGCAACAGTGGAGCGGAAACCGCCGCCTCTGAAGAGTAGGGCGGATATCTCAGCCAACTACGGCGGAAACACCGGAGGCAGAGAAGGGCGGAAAACGAGATCAGAGGAGGAGCTTGAAGGGAAAGGCGGAATTCCCGCCCCACTTGCGACATCGCCCAAAGTGCGTCGGATCCGGAGTCAGGGCATGGGATCGAGGCTCGGGAGAATTGGAAATGAGCACCAACGCCAAGGCAGGGAGTTGCCTCAACCGAGGGAGGATGATCCTAGAGTTTGGTGGTGGTGGCTATGGTTCGGCCACCTTAGAAGCCCCAATACTGCCACCATCACCGAGAAGGTACACGCCCTATACTGGTGCTGGTGTTGACCTCTCGGCTTCCGAGAAGCGTCGATGTGCAGACTGGGAGGGGCAAGTCAGGGTGCGCGGGCGAGCAGTCGTTCTAGTCCTATGCCCTGCGCGCGGGCGAGCAGTCGCTCTAGTCCTATACCCTACAGTGAGAGCTCGACCACAAGAACCATTCCGCGCGAAACCCATCCCTGACAACCCAGGACGTCCATTGACTGTCGGTGCGGGAACGTCACGCTTTCCAAACCGTCGAAACTCAAGGAACCCAGGGCACTCTGGAGGCAAGCAGGGTGTGTCTTGGCGCCATGGCCAGCTCAGAAGTCAAGTGATGGCATCGTGGCCTCATCGCTGGCACCTCTGACTAGTGGACTGGTCCACTCTCACGGATCCTTGACGATGTGCTCTCGCACTGCTCCATTCCTTGCGCAGCATGCTTCTCTCTCTCTCCCTCTCGAGGTTTGAGGTTTTCGGACGCCTTCGCAGGCTCCCGGAGGATCCTCTAGCCTCGGGGCACGTTCTGCAACTGCGCCTCGACGAGAGTGTTCCGGGTGTGCCCGAATCGTCACGAACAGCCGCAGCAGACCCGAGCGGTGAGCCAACATCAGAGCTCCTCTCGCTGCGGACAAAATCACGACAACATCACAACAAAATCACGACAGCATCACAAACAGCAACCGATTGTTCTTTCATCCCGAGTCGGCTCGGGATGCAACACGGGGGGCAACTCCATACCTCTAGGGGTCCACGTTTCTAAACATCCTCAACATTGGAGGCCTCGAGGGAGAAGGGAGGAGGACACGGAGGACGACTGGGCGGGGGAGGGAGGAGTAGGAGTGGGAGGATGCCGAGGGGAGGAAGAGAGATGACCAGAATGTCGGACGCACGATCTTGGCATACGCGAGCCACCAGATCCACTGCATGTGTATGTCGTCTCGCAAAGACTTTATCGTGTTGTTCGGTCTGGTCGTTCTGCACCACCTGTGAAATGATTGCCGTCGGAGCGGTGAACTGAGCGGCGTAACGTGGCACAACCTCCAAGTGTGTTTCACCAGTGGCAAGGAGCACGTCGGGTCCCCTCCGGAAGGACGGTGACACCTGCGTCAGTAAGCGTCCTACTCGCCGATCTCCTCCACATCGTCCTCCTCCTCCGCCATCACCTGGTCCTCCTCACCCTCCTCCTCTGGATCCATCTCCACTGATTGTTGTTCGTCGTCTCTCTTACCCTCATGCTCGGGATCCTCTTTCTTCTCATTCGCCTTCTCCCCCTTTTCTTCCCTTTCCCTTCCTACCTCCCCCGGGCCCGCCCCACCCCACTCCTACTTGTCCTCCTCCATCGCGCCCTTTTTCTCCCCAAACTCGAGGAACACCATTGCGACCATGAGCATCGCTGCGATCTTACTGTTATCACTCCTCGCTGCCAACACGACTGTAACTGTGGCGATCCTCCGTCTGCATATAGTTCGGCGCGAAATCCATCCATCGCGACTGCAGGGACGTTGCTCCCTGTACACTTCCCGTAATCACTGCCACCCTGGCCGCCATAGCCTTCCAGACAGAACGGTCATGCCCAGCACCCCCATGACAAATTCGTCGAATGTAAATGCCACCATCATGAGGCAACCCTGCGGCATTCCACCGCCAACAGAATCTAGTGTGCTGATGACGACGACTGGCCCGCCAGACCCACGACGACGACGCCAGCCGACGACGACGACGACGACGACGACGCCGCCGACGCCGACGTCGCCGCCGCCGCCGACGACGCCGCCGCCGCCGACGACGACGACGACGACGACAACGCCGCGACTGCACTCCTCACTTAAACCTTAGGCGGCGTCACTTGTTTTACGTCGTGGGCCCCAGGGGGGTCTGGACCTTTTCCCCAGGAGCGGCTGCTCATCCCGAGTCTCTCGACGGCCCCGGGGCTCAGAAGAAGGTCCCTGAACGCCGAAAGCAGGCAGAAACCCTTGACGGTGACCGGACTTGAAGATCGACCTGATTGCGTCGAAAAAAACTCCTCCTCCTCCTCCTCCTCCCCCTCCTCCTCATCCTTTCTTCCTCCCCCTCTACGTCCTCCTCCTCCTCCTCCTCCTCATCTCTCTCCTCCTCCTCCTCCTCCTCCTCCTCCTCCTCCTCCTCCTCCTCCTCCTCCTCCTCCTCCTCCTCCTCCTCCTCCTCCTCCTCCTCCTCCTCCTCCCTTCTCCCTCTCCTCCTTCTCCTCCTCCTCCTCATCATCATCATCCTCCTTCTCATCCTTCTCCTCCTCCTCGTCCTCCTCCTCCTTCTCCTCCTCATCTCCCTCCTCCGCCTCCTCCTCCGCCTCCTCCTCCTCCTCTTCCCTCTCTCCTTTCCTCCCTCCCTTCCTCGCTCCCTCGCCCCCCCCCGCCCGTCCTCTCTCCCTCGCTCCTTTCCCCCCATCCCTCCCCCCTCCCCTCCTGCCTCACTCCTTCCAAAACAGGAATTGGTCTGGCTTTCGGTCATCACTCGGGTCTTTGGTGGTCGTCACTCGGAGCTCTGGCGAAAAGCCATGCGTACAACCCTGGAGCACTCTCGGCGAGGCGCATCTGCTGGGCAAGACGCACAGGCTGCAAGGGCATTCAGGAAGAT